CAGATGCTTATAGTCAGTGAAGCATGAGATATTCCCCTTAAACACATTTTTCTCATTCTTTTTTCCCCTAATCCTTGTAAAATTACTATAAGGAACTATATTGCTTTCCTTTCTCTCCTACATAATGAATATGCTTTAAGATTTATTTGCTTTCATCTTATGTATATGGCATTTGCCTGCATGTGTGTGCATAAATCATGTGTATGCCTTATGCCTGGAAAGGCCAGAAGGAGGCATTGTAGCCCCTGAACCTGGAATTACAGGTATCTTTGAGCAGGCATGTGGATGCTCTACAAAGAACAACAGGTGCAATTAACAACTCAGCAGTCTCTCCAGCCTCAAGGCAATGCCTTCAATTATTATTTTATATTACTAATAATTCCATCATGTTTAACATGACTTTTATTTTTATCATACAATATTATATCAGTAACATAATTCCTGAAATATGAGTAGTTTTCAACTGTTAGCCCAACTACTGACATGTATAAGATAATAGCACAATGTAATCTCAGTCAAATATGTTGACAAGTTGTATGCACATGGACACATAGTGAGGGATTTCATCCATTACTGCAGATAATAAACCCTGGTTGATGAATAGAAACACCCCCAAATACCACATCGCTTCACAAAGCAGCTCTCTGACTTTGCAACTGGTACAGGAGAACGTATGCAGAGAACACAGTGTCTCTTTAATAGCATCCTAGGTTTCTGTTGAGTCATTATAAAACTGATGAGCGGAACATTTCACAAGCAATTCCTTTTGCAAGGCAATGTGCTGAGACTCAACAGAGGTAACCGAATACATTTATACCTGGGTCATCCCTTTTGACTTTTCACATTTTTCAAAGATGCTTTTGTGAAACAAATTGACATTTTTGTACTGATTATTACCAATCTTTTTACCACAAACATGTAACTTCATTGCTTCTTTCCTTCCACAAGAATTTCTATGCTTAGGATGTCCTTTATCCAAGACCATCAGTATCATCCAATACTTTGGCTACTCTGCAGGGAACACTTGTCAAAGACTGCTGCTGCTGTTATCATGTTTATCACCTTCTATATTCCTTAGTTAAAGGTTAGTTTTCACTTACCTAAGTAAGAAACTTAGCAGTGAAAATTAGATGTACAAATTTAGGATATTTTCTGTGTTTCTTACGAAGCTGGTAGCACTGTCAACAATGTAGATCAAAGCTCTAAAGTATAGTCATTCAGCAATGGCCCTATCCCTTATTTTCCCATGTCTGTTGTAGCTACAATATTTACCTCAACATATTAAGTTTAAGTTTAAGATTGGAAGTGCTCCTATATTGTTGATACCGTCACTTGCAAAGTGAGGAAGCCAGACATTGACTATGTAAGTTTAGATGTTTTGAAACCATGAATTTGTACCTGTTCTCACATTAAGTGTGAGGAATGTGTAAGCAAGATATCTAAGAAAGTAGACTAGTTTACTGGTAGAGAGTCTCTTAGTTATTCATATTTAAATTCTGCTCAGCAAGGAAGAAAACAAACATGATTCAAACAAACACACATATAGCTTCTCCTTGGTAAGAAATACCATCAAAACTTTAGGGTTTACAGGCAACACATAGAACAAAGAAATAGTTATTTCCTCTATGTATAGAGGTCAAAGAAGGTTTTGGGCTGTTCTAAATCTTGCTATGTGTGTTAAAATTGCTTTCTCTTATGAAGCTTCAGTTTCCTCATTTCTGGCAAGGAACTCCTATGTGTACTGGTGATTTTAATGGCTTTTAATGTGATGAGATGTATAAAAATCTGCTTATAACACGCTTAGAATAATCAGTTGAGAACTCCTGTTCAATGGTTATAGTAGAATTGGTGATGGCTGGTATCTAGATGGAAGAAGAGGAAAATTGAAAGGAAAGTATCAGTTGGAGATCAGAGATAGGTATCAATCACTATAAACAGATGACCATAAAAATGCAGACTGTTTGCATGCCTTTACATTTGCATACAAGGTATTTTTTTTCTATAAGAAGATATATTCATAGTCAAAAGCTGACTTATCAGCCTTCAGAAGCATGTCACTGGGTGTTGGATGCTTAGTATGGAAATAAAGAATTTCCACAGCCTATGGTTCCCACTTTACAGATTCTATAGAAGCTACAAATCTGCGCTTTCAGCTGATGCTGTTACACATTCTATAATGAGGAGTACAGGGAGATTTCTTCATCTGCATATCTCCCAGATGATGTCAGTGATCTTCGGTTTGCCCTTTTAAAGAAACTGGAGGCTCTTTATTGCTGATGTATAAAGACAGACTGCGGACAGGCTGAGAGCTGAGCATAGAAAAGTGTTTTAGATGTGTATGCTCAACTAAAGCTAACTTTACAGCTGCTGCCATGACCATTGCTATTTTGTGAGTGGTGTCACAATCGACAGTCTCATGTGTCTCATTCTGGGTTGTAGCAGTGTTGAAATTCTTCTTCTGTACTTGAACATCTATGGTCTACTTAGTTAAGCACCCAGACTCATTCTTTTCTGTCCTTTCTTATCCTCACTACAGTTTGCAGGTCCACAAAGACAGGACCCTTTTTGACTTGTTAACAAAGTTGCAAATATACAGTAAACTATAAACTCAAACTAATTTCTTGGCTAAAATGAAGAGAAAAAAATAACACATTTTGCTTTATTTGTTTCTCAGTGACTCTTTGCCACAAACTGCTCAGTACTAACATCTGAACAAGGTTCTCAAACTTCAATGAGTCAAAAATATTAATACCGAGTAACTATGAAACATTAATTAATTTAACTAACATGAATGCCATCATGATAAGAAACAGGAAAATGAATTAATTCAACCCTATCTACTCCAAACATAATCTGTGATCTGCTGCAATTATGATAAATGGAAGCTTGGTAGATATGCAGACTATTCAAGCCTATGAAATACCTGTTGAATCACAGAATACTTGCTGTAAGATCCCTAGATATCACATAGTCCATTATACTATAAGGTCCCTTATTATGCTACATGGTGCTATAAACATCAGGCACTTGAAGAAAGACAATTACAGAGTCGTACCACACAGGAACCCTCCTTTTTGATAAACTATTTATTGGGTTAGTTAGATTCACCTACTGTGCTGAACTAGAATCATAAGCCCTTCCCACCTCATAGGATTGTTGTAAAATAATAAAGCTAAGGAGTTTTCAGTAGACTTCTTTATGGAATGGTTATATTAGTAATATTGACATTATTTTCCATATAGAATGAGAAATGCCACAAATAGCTTTTGATGCCAAAGTGAGAGTGTTGGGTGAACTCAGGATGATACCATCAGGGTCCTCTAAACTGTATTCCTAGCAGAACAGGCTTAGATTTTGGGTGATTGTGCTTTTTCCAAATGTATATCCTAATATAAGCATATAAATCTTTATCACTGGAAGCAAATGAGAAAAAATGTGCACTTCCTTAACGAAATTTCATGAATACTCTTCTCACCCTCAGCGCTTACGCACCCTCCTTATGTCACTCACCTGACCTTATCAGATAGACCTCTGTGATCTCAGGCAATTTTCATCATCTCTACCACTTCCTCCACAACCCTGCTCTTCTGACGCCTGACAGCTGTCACCATACAGCATCATCTTATATCCATTTCCTTTGCTCTAACAGGATTATGCTGACTAGGAGTACTTTGAATCCAGAAGCCACTCAGTAAATACTAACAGATGATATAATTAGACTACGTTCTTCAGATAAAATGAATTAAATAAAATTGATTAATATTCCTAGAAGAAGCAGAAATGTTTGACAGTAATTTCTTAAAATCGGTAAACATGTAAATTTATGCTGAGGGGAAGATAATAGAAGGACCCTGGGGAATCTGTAAAGTGAGAACGTTAATAGATAGCCTTTTCTCGGGATTATTACGACTAAAAACAGAAATAACATTTGAAGCTGGGGAGATATCTCAGTATATAAAGGCACTCAAAATGCCTGAAAAGACCTGAATTAGATACTGGAACCCAGTGTCGAAAGTCAAATGCACTGGCACACACCTGTAATCTTAGCATTCCTACAGTTAGAAGAATGGTAGAAGGGAGTCAGAGGCAGGAAAATCACCTAAAAGCCCAGCCTGGCTAGCCTAGAGTATACTGTGAAGAAGCAGAAACCTTAAGAAAGATCCTATCTCTAAACTGTCTCAGAACAAATTAGAAGGTGATAAAGCAACTGTGAAAGATATCTTTATGCACACACACAAACATACACACACACTCTCTCTCTCTCTCACACACACACACACACCCACACACACTCACACACACACACACACACTCACACATACACATACACACACTCACACATACACACACACCACCCACACACACACAGGAGACCCCACACTCCACATAATATAACCTTAATCATAGGTTTATCCTAATATTTAGTTAATTAAAAGGCTACATCATTATTTATATTTAGTCAGATAACAAGCAGATAATATCCTTATGACTTAGAAAAATTCTTCATTTCATAAACAATGCACAATATTCACCTATTAGAATGAACTGTATTGGTGATTAGATAACAAAGAATTTCTTAGGAGAGGAAATATTGGTTAATTTGTCTTCAAATATATAAATACTCAGGACTAATAAACTTGATTTGGTAAGAGTGACTTGAGTATGTGTTTAGTTTTCTCCTTGAAATTGATACCTTCCAAATAGTAAACAAAATATAAAGAAAGAAAATCATATCCACAGAAGTAATTAATGCTACATAATGTATCACTTTTCAGTTCTTAAGAGGTATGTCTGTATAATTAAGAAATAAGTGGGGCTGGAGAGGCGACTCAGTGGCCAAGAGTGCAAAGAGCTCTTGTAGAAGACAGGAATCCCAGTGAATCTGATGACCTCTTCTGGTCTCTGCTGACACCTGCATTCACATGTACAAAGCCCACACACACATACACAACACACACATTTTATATCTAAATCTTTTTTTTTTTCTTAAACATTTACAGATTCCTCCAAAGGACCTCAACCATCTTCAGGTATAAATGGAAACACACAGCCTCCCAGCACTGCTGGGCAAGCCCCAGTCTCTGCTATCCCTTCCCCAAGTGCCAGCAAGCCGTGGCGCAGCAAGTCCATGAATGTCAAGCACAGTGCCACCTCTACCATGCTGACGGTGAAGCAGCCAAGCCCAGCCACCTCTCCCACTCCATCTTCAGACAGACTGAAGCCCCCTGTCACAGAAGTGGTCAAAAGTGCTCCATCAGGACAAAAATCTATGCTCGAAAAATTCAAGCTGGTTAACGCCCGGACTGCGTTGCGCCCCCCTCAGACTTCCAGTTCAGGACCTAGTGATGTTGGGAAGGAAGATGATGCCTTTTCTGAATCTGGAGAAATGGAAGGTTTAAGCAGTGGTCTGAATAGTGGTGGCTCAACAAACAGCAGTCCCAAAGTGTCACCTAAGTTAGCCCCTCCAAAAGCAGGAAGTAAAAATTTCAGCAATAAAAAGTCTTTGTTGCAGCCAAAAGAAAAGGAGGAAAAGAGCAGGGACAAGAATAAAGCCTGTGCTGAAAAGTCAGGAAAGGAAGAGAAGGACCAGGTGACGGAGACAGCTCCAAAGAAGACCTCTAAAATCGCAAGCTTGATCCCAAAGGGCAGTAAGACCGCAGCGGCCAAGAAAGAAAGCTTAATTCCATCGTCCAGTGGGATCCCAAAGCCAGGCTCAAAGGTGCCCACTGCAAAGCAAACTATTTCACCCAGCAGTGCAGCAAGCAAAGAGTCTGAGAAATTCAGGACTACCAAGGGAAGCCCTTCTCAGGCCCTCCCAAAGGCCTCAGAGAAAACAAGCGCGCCCAGCCTCTCTGCTGCGCAGGAGGGGAGGGACGCTGGCCACACATCTTCCTCTAGCTCCTGTGCTATGCAGCTGGCACACAGCAGTGGACAGAGCCCCAGCAATGGAGCCGTCCAGCTCCCTCAGCAGCAGCATATCCATCCCAACACGGCCACAGTGGCTCCATTCATTTACAGGTGAGGGGTGGCTTCCGTAGCCCTGTGTTCCTTCATCTTCATATTTACACAATTAGCACTAAGTTAGATGGGCATTTGAGAACTGTTAACCTTATTTTCATAAAACTGTTTATCAGTTTCTCTCTTAACCTATCACATAAATACTTGAGAGTCTTTTATACTTGCTTAGTAATAAGCTTCACAGCATAATAACTGAGCAGTTTTTACCCTATTCTTAACCCTCTAACCTAATCTGGTTTCCTTCCAGTGTGCAACCCAGAGATCCTTGTACTATGTAGGTTCTTTTTTTTTTTTTTTTTTTTTTTTTTTTGCTGAGCTCTCTCACCTGGCCCCTCCTGACATCTCCCAAGGCTGAATCCTCTACTTCCTCTTCTAACTCCTCCCTCCCCTGGCTAGCAGGAAGTCCAGCCCTATTCTCTTCCCTGCTCATTGATTCGCTGTAAGCTGCTTATTGGCATAACAAAGGACAATTGGGGAGCAGTGTTTACACATCATTGAGACAGGAGCTTCTCAAAACAAGGATTGTAACCAGATATGAAAAATGCAGAAGTCGGCATTTGAATTACACAGTAAACTTATGCCTCCAGAGAACATTTATCTTTGAAGCTACAGGACTAGAATTCAGTGCCAAAGTACAGTCTGGGGAAACCTTCCTATTCACCTCCTATTCTCTCAGAAGCTGAGGCCTTAAATCAACCTACATCTTGTTAAGGGCAAAATGGAATCGCGGTGTCCTGATTGTCTCAAGTTAAGTTCTTTAGCATACTAACTTGTTACCACTGGCACCCAGCGACTGCTGTTAGCACGAGCTGTCTCTTAAAAGAATTCTCAGATTTAAGGCACTGACAGTCAATTGTTCTGTTGTCATGTTTGGGATAAAGTATATCATAATGGTTAAAGAGCTTGGCCCTAAGAGCAGACACATGTGTACTGAATGCCCAGCTTTACCATTTACCAGCTCATGACTTTAGACAAGTTACTTAAAACTTCCTAGTCTTATTTCCTCCACCTGTTAGTAGAGATTAAAATAAGAACAAAGGTAATGGATTTATTTGTTATATACTCTAGCCTAGTGTAAATCGCTAAGTGTTTTTATAAGGTATAACATTCAAAAAGAAATGTTATATTAAATTCCTGCTACTAAATATAAGCTTGTAGATAAAAATTATATAATTAGCATGTTCGTATTTTGCAGTTTTATATTTGGGGCATCCATTCTAAACTGTACATATCAAAACACAATTATATATGATATCTACAAACATATATGTACTACTACACAGTTACCAAAGTAGCCCATTTTTCCTGTGCTATGATTTGCCTCATCAGGTAGAGCTCTGTCAGTCATTAGAATAGGTCTAGTTTAACTCACTGTCTGCTGAATAAAGATCTGACCAAGGGAAGGATAATGTCTGCTTTGTTCACATCTGTTTGGGAGGTTGTCAGATTTAAAGCACGTAAGACATTTAAAGAACAGGAAGCAAGACTTTCTATCATTATCACAGGGCCAAGGCTGCAGTGAAATATTTATTAATGTATTGAATGTACGGCTTTAAAAAAATAAAGCCAAGAGTTATAATTTTTTTTTTTATTTTTCCTTTGAAAGAACCTAAATACTTTCTCTGCGGCTTATAAACTCATTCTAACTGTTACATTTGATTGGAAGGGGTGCATGTGACATTCCTGGTAATTATTGCCTTTCTGACTTGAGTAACAGTGCATCTAAGCCCTTGTGCCTGGATGAGGGGTCTATTGTTCCTCCTTCCAAAGACCCCAACTGGCTAATCAGAAAGTAAGATTCCCAAATCAAAATCCACATTTTAATGATATAAGAAAAACACGAAGCTTTAAATGTATCATAGTCAGCATGTCTGTGTGTTTCAAATATATTTTGCAAAGACATCACTCATTTTTAAATCTAATACGAACCGTCAATGAAAGTGAATCTCTGCATTACCTACTCATTCAGCTTTTTGCTGCAAGTGTCAACACACTTATTTTGTTTGTTTGTTTATTGCGATAAAATATTCAGCAAATAAAAATTTAGTGGATTCCATTTGAAAATGTAATGTTTTTTTGATTCCACACTCACCCCCACCCCCTTTGTATCAGTGGCTGTCCCAGAACTCATTCTGGAGGGCAGGCTAGGATTAAAGTTGTGTGCTACCATGCCCAGTGTGATTCATCATTCTTAATCTTCATTAAAATTGAAGATAACTTTGTTGATACTAAATTTATCTATAATACACTCAATACTCTGGTCATAATTCCTTAACTTTTAAAATTGTTACATAAAATTACGTACAATGTCCAAGCATATGCTCGCTTTACATATGGAATGATAAGTACAGCCAATTAACATATGTGTGCACATAGTTACTATTTATGTCATACTCCCTCTACAGGATTTTGTATTCAATCTACTACTACCACATGGAGCCACCATCTTGTACTAAACCTAGAAGTCTCCTAAGCTTATTTCTCCTATCAAAAAGAAATTTTGTGTCTCTTAACAATAATTTCCAAAACCATCCCTTCTAATCATTGCCACAAATATATGACTACTTTGTGATGACTACTCTGTGGGAACACCTTTTTTTTTTTTTTTAACAACTAAAATGTAGGGAATTTTTTTCCTGTATCTGGCTTATTTTTCTGTACCTTCTTGTCATTTAGATGTATTTTTGGCATCTGAAATGTCAGGCTTTCTCCTTTTTATACTTGAATAATATTCCATTACATTTGTGTACAGCACTGAGGAAAAAGCACAGATTAACAGGCAGCTCTTGTTGCTATGCCATGCCACCCAAACATTCTCTGTACACTTTAAAACTTCCATTTTCCCTTAAAAGTAAATTTTATAACCCCCTGGCTAGGGATACAGGGAGTAGACACAGTCTTGAGGCCATGGCTCTGAGCCACGTTGCTTGCCATCAATGATTGGTCATGTGACTTCCAGTAACATACATAAAGATTTTGAACTTCAATTTTCCAGTCTGCAAAATGGAGATGAAATAATCGGAGCTACCTCAATATGACTCGTTTCAAGATTGGGTTGATATTTATACTATGTTAATAACATTTATCATGTATTACACAGATCTTCTCCAGATCTTTTAAACCGTGATTGATGAAAAATGGCTGTTTTAAAAAATTGAAGAAAGCAATATAATGTAAAAAAGTTACCATGAAAGGCAATAACTATACTTAGGCTATCATCAATAATATAAAATAGTTAAAATAAATAAAACTAATGCAACTCATTGCACTCTCTATATGATACAACCGTGAAATAGTATCACAAAATTTTATAAATGATAAAATTATGTCCTTTAAAGTCTGAGTTTTAAATACTCATACTTTCCCACCCTGAGTGTGAGATGACTGTATTCCCAGTTCGTGGCACTTTGTGTATAGAACTACATGTCCTTCCTCATCTTAACTATTCCTCTCACTTAAGAATTCTTCCTGAAAACCCCCTTGACATGGTTGTTAATTTCTGAGATGATAACACTCATGATTTATGACCTTATAATGGTAGTATCTTTTAAAATATCATCTGTTAAGTGCTTGCCTACTGAAATAGTCCATGTTGCAAGAGTGGTATTGATTTCCTGACATAAACTTCACCACAAATGGGTGATAATAGTATCCCTATTTATCGGACATGGAGAAGTCATTTAAATTCAGAAAAGTAATGATCTCAGAAAATCACAGAGCCTGCAATATTTGCCTGTGAAACAAATTCTGACCGAATGCACACATTTCCTGTTCATTGTGCTGGAACACAGGGACATGCTCTCTTCTGTTTGTCAGTTCTTGTGGCAATGTGGAAAGGATGGGGATTAGTACCAGGAAGTTCAGGCTAGGAAAATGTCAGTAATACATTTGCAAATTTCTCAGTCACCTGTAGATGGGGCTTGTTGGTGAGCATCTGATGATCACAATACTTAAGTGGGAAGTTAGGGGCCTGCGAGACTATGGCCAGCCTTGACTAAAATAAAATGTACATCCCCAAAATCATTTATAATAAGAAATAGTGAATGTTTATTAACTGGTATAAATTAATGTAACAGGTAACTTGCACATGATGAACATATACTTATATATAATATTTAAATATAGTTACATAACCTACACAGAGTTGGAAGACCATTGGGCTGAGGGAGATTTATTTTCCTTTCCTCAGGGTTATGTAGGCCTTTATTAGGAACTGAGTTATTGCTGCAATAAAACCCCATGACCAAAACCAACGTGAGGAGGAAAAGGGTTTATCTCATTTTTTCACTTCCAAGTAATAGTCTTATTACTGAGAAATTCACAACTGGGGATCAAGGAGTGTAGGAACCTGCAGGCAGGAACTGAAGTACAAACCGTGTAGGAACACGCCTTTACTACCTAACTCCTCCTGTCTGGCCTACCCTGCTGCTTTATACAGCTCAGATTCACCTGCCAATGAGTGGCATTCCCCCCATGTGATGGCCCTCCCAGGTCAATCATTAATCGATAAAAGTCCACACAGGCTTGCCTGTAGTCCAGTCTGGAGGATATATATATATATATATATATATATATTTTTTTTTTTTTCACTGAGGTTCCTTCTTCCCAAATGACTGTGGTTTGTGTCAAGTTGACAAACTCAATCGGGACACTTATTTAATTACTGTCCCTAGTAGAACACTAATGTGTACTTCATAACACTCTTGCTAATCAACTTCACATTTGGAATCCCATAAATGCAATGTTAGGTTATGATTGTTAAAGGATTTCATGCACTCTAATTGCTAATGCAGTACAACATATTTTACATAACTTTTGGAACTCAATTATCCCCACAAAGTAATGAGTATTTTAAACTTATTATGATCTTTACTCACTTAATGAGCAGAAATAACCAATATTAAAAGGTGGAGAATTTAACAGAAGATACTGAGTTCCACAGAAGAGGCTCTCAACAATTAAAGCTATTTGAAATTAGAAAAGCTGCCATTAAAAGTGTT